CGAACTCAGGAAAGGTTAAATAAGCAATATATGGCCACTTGTCTCATCCCCGCACTTCCCCTTTAAAAACGTACGAGCAGTGTTGCCAGAAATACTTGCATTTTTCATTTTAAAAAAATTATAATAGTAAAATTTACCATTTTTTTCTGCTGATTTATTCTAAGATTCCTTTTATTACAACAATAATAAATGTTTTTCTATACTTTAAGTAATGTTGTGATAAAAAAACAAACAATGTTTGTGGTATCAATGTTGTCATTTTCCTGTTTTAGCGGTATTTTAAACACTTTTAAGGTGAATAATTTCACTTTATACATACCAATTTCTGTCAGTGGTGTCACCAGTTGGACACAGCCCCTTAACCTGCCTGGGAATGCCAGTCCCTGAATAACACCCTCTCCTCCCTAACCACATCGTGCAACACCCCTACCCCTTCTTGTCGGGACAACCTAATATGTGGTCGTGGTAGGGGTGGTGCCAGGATTCGTCCGACAAGAAGTCCTATGTCCCAGATGGTGGTCCGATTACAGCATTCAGAGAATCTCGAGCAGATTTTTTGGAAAATGAATATCTTGGCAAATATTTTGTTGCATTGCGGTGTTCCAAACACAATCCCAGAACAGCGATAATGAAAGATGTAGTTTCATAGCTAAAGAGTATGCAAACGAAGTTGATGTCATTGAAGATGGTTTTAAAATGAAACATGCTTTAGAATCAGATAGACAGTAAAAGGTTTTTCCTACCTTCTCGAATGTTGCAACATATGAAGAACTGCAAGTGGGATCGTATAAGCCTTCTTAATAATTTTGAATTTACAACTACAGGCAGGGGTGGATCCAAAGATGTTCAAAAAGGGGGGGGGGGCAAAGTTGGCCTGATCGAGACAACACTGTCCTAGGATGTCCAGGGGCATGCCCCGCGAAATTGTTGTGTTCTAGACGCACAAAAATACCATTTAAGGTGTCTGGGCTATCATTTTTTTTTTCTTAATTTTTTTTTCTTTTTTCTTTCTTTTACCTCCCTCCCCTAAATCCGCCCCTAACAGGAGTTTGAAAATGGAGGGCATATGACATCTGACCTGGTTCAGAAAGTGGAAAATAAATTTCAAAGATACCATAGTGTCTTTTGGTGTGCATGAATCACCAAAATACAATGGAATTAATTTTAAAGAAATGATCACTGCGAAGGTGTCTGATCAACCTGTTCGCCAATATCTGCCAGTCTGTGCATAAGGCTAAGTTTAATAACCATTTGTTTTTCTGTCCCGAAGATGGATTTATAAAGTCCTACATAAGCTTCTGTACACTAGAAAATCAGATAGTTACAGGAACACTTGAATACAGACCTGAGAATCAAACACTGTTGGACAAAGTAGAATTAGCTTATGCTAAGTCTTGCAACTGACACATATTCCCATGGTAGCATTTTTATCTTCTAATGTTTAATCTTTCAATTTGCTCCAAAAGCCATCAGTCGACTATTATCTGCCATACAAGAAACATTACATTCATATTCATCAATATATATTTGCAATGGCCAAAAAAAATCATAAGAAAATTAAACAGTAGATCAGTGTAGCAGAGTAGTAAAAATGGAGGAATTGTTGGCAGAGACGGATAGACATTTAGAGAATATGGAAGAAGATTTGAAACGTTCAGTTCTACAAGGAGGCGGTAAGAAGGCTGACTGTTGTATCCCTAGGCGAGATAGATATTTAAGAATGTGATCATAAGGTTAAACAATTGGACAAAAAGTGCATGGATTGAAATATTTAAATCTTGTGTTGTACCATGTAGAGTATTACCATATTGTGCAAATAGGTGTGGATATGAATAATATGAAGTGTAATCTGATAGAAGTTTACTGAAAAGATATTCAAACACTTATTAAATGCGCACCTTCACATTCATAGAAAACAAGAAAAAACACAAGATTTTCAGAAACAACAAAAATAATATGTTCAAAAGAAATTCCAAATAGTCAGTGTCAGAGGTCGAGAAAAACCAGAGAATAGCTACAGTAGGAACGACTGAGTTAGCTCAGGGACGTAGCCAGGATTTTGAAAGGTGCCGGGGAGCCCTTATGCAAATTACGTAGGATCCCGGCGGGGTCAAGGAGGCGAATCCCCCTGTGAAGTAGCGCACTCTGAACGTTTTTAGGACTGTTTGAGAGGATAAATTGAAAATTGCAATAGACGCATTATAAATAAGCGCAAAAATAATTATATTATATTATTATTATATTACTGAATCAACAGTGGCAGATCCAGGAATTCGAAAGAGAGGTGAACGAGGGAGGGACTTTCACAAACCGAGGAACCACCCACCTCAGCCCCACCATGGTTGGGGCTGAGGTAAAAAAATTTATTACTAGGGCATCTCTAGATGGCCGGAAATTACACTCTCGCACTTCAATTTGAATATATTTTTCTTCTTTATTTTTCCTTAAAAAATGAAGGGGGGGGTCCTTAAATCCACCTCTGCTCAAAACATTCTTTATCCACTGCCAGAATAGTCATAATCACGAAAAATGGACATGAAAAACCAGATCACATCCTAAAAACAAACAGCAGTCACTAAGATATACATCAGGAGCTGATTCGATGGAGTTCAATGTCATACCCAGGGAAGGGCACAGACCTGTTTTGAAAGGTGGAGAGGGAGGACATTTTGTGAGTCGACACCCACCTCAGCCCCACAATGGTTGGAGCTGAGGTGAGAAAATTTGAGGAAATAGTACCTCTAGGTGGCCAGAAATGACACTTTTAGTAAAATTCATCATCATCCCATCACCATATTAGTCAAAATGAAGTGCAAAAAAAAATTCTCATGATCTTTTATCAGGGATTTTTGACAACCATAGAGATCTTATTAATGTGCGTGTGTATACCATAGAAAACAAAGCTTAAAAACATTGTCTTTGAGTATGTACTTTACATAGGCCTACTTCAAAAACGTGATTTCACAACCACCTCAGCCCCACCATGGCTGGGGCTGAGGTGAGAAAATTTGAGGAAATAGTACAAATATGACACTTTTATATCTGTCTCTTATACACATCTAGATGTGAATTCATCATCATCACATTACCATTATAGTCAAAATGAAACGGCAACAAATTTCTCATGATCTTTTATCAGGGATCTACTTAATATCCAAGATAACTTAGGCCTAAATAGCTTACTAAGCTTTAACTACATATACTATAGTATGAACAACAAATCACAACTTTGTTTTTCGCATTTAGCACAATTTTCTTCACTTTTTATTGCTATTAATATTATTGTCAGTTATTACTCTCGTCATCATCATCATTGTTATTATTATCATTATTACTATTAGTAGTAGTATTATTAAACAAACATTAAAAGAAACTTGCAAAAGGATAAAAACGAAATTGAACCACAGTATCGCATTTCTATCTTAAAAGATTTAAGATTTGTTTAAATCACGCTTAGGCCTATGTGTTCTATTAGGCCTATGTATAACGTGTACTGATACATATTTACATGTTAGAAGTATTCATTTTAAGTGATCCCAGGAAAGAATTTGTATTGGCTCAAGAATATGCTTTAAAATTTTAACACTGTGTACAAAGGGGGGAGTCGTGTCAAGATACAGTAGTACACTGTTTAGGCTACTAAAGTGTTCAAGAGTCAGATGAAGATATTCTTCAAGCTGCCGAAGAGGAATCGCAATAGACAACCTCCAAATGCTTGTCCATGAAACAGTTGATCTTTAACATCCATTTGTATATGGCACAATTAACTTTCCATGGTGAATTCAACAATTAAATTGAGTCTTCCTGAGTTGAAAATCATAACTCGTTGTTGAAAGCGAATTTATCATGAATTGCTTTTGTCAGAGTGGTGTTTGAATTTGTATTGTTTTTTTCAGAAAGTTAAATTAAGTTGTTCGCTTTACATGCAATGCAGTATAATATTGAGTTAAAATATTTGAAATAAACCTGGCAACACATGTTGTTATAATAGTCATGTATATAGTAATATTATAGTTACATGAATTAGGGCATATTATATTATAACATTTTCGGTACAGTAAAAAAAATGTATACTTATAATATTTCTAATGAAACAAATTCTGCTTTTTCTGGCAATACAGTAACGCATATTAATAAACCTTACAACACATTTCTTAGCATGTTGTTAAACTTGTCAGGTAACTATATTTGTTATGGTTAATGAATTATATTATATTTTATAGCATTAACTGTTCAGTAAAAAAAAGTATATTTATGTTAATTTTCAGTAAAAACAATGCTGTTTTCTGGCAATACAGTACAAAATTGAGTTTTAAATTACTTGAAATGAGCCTGGCAACACATTTCTTAACATGTTGTTAGATTATTTATGTAACTATAGTAACATTATATTGAAATGAATTTACGTCGATTTATAATATTATCCATTCAGTCAAAAATGATATATTTTTATTTAAAAAATGCCGTTTTTTCTGGCAATACCGCATCCATGTGTGTAAATTACCCACAACTTTTTTTCTTGATCATTGTTTGGACAACTATTGACTAGCAAAATATGGAAGATGGTGGATATGAAAGCACCACTTTGGAAGTTACTGATAGGTTTCTGAGGCATACTTTTTAAAAAATATACTTTTGAGAAAAACCCCCTTTTGTAAATAATGGTATCTTCCAAACAGAATTGTTTACACAATTTTTTTTTTGCGATAAATGGAAGTTAATATCTGGTTATTTACATGGATGATCACAAAAATATATGTAGTGCATGTTCTTTTTTTTAAAATAAGGTCTGAAAGTCAGTGTTTTTTCACTTCTGAAAATGTCCAAAATTGACAAAAACGGTAAAATTTAGATAATTGGTCGTTGCCATGACAACGAAAGCTAAAAAATTAAACAAATGTCATAGATATGCTTTTTACCCAAGTATCTATTCATGGTAAAAATTTGAGAGAAATCCATTTTTTGACATCTGCCACCAAATCTTTAATTTGATTGGATAGGAGGAAGGATAATGGTCTAATTCACTGTACAACATCTCCAGTTAGAAACCTTACCACTGGTGGTGTGCTTTTGATGATTAACAATGGAGAATACAACAGCCATGTAATATTCAAGTACAAAGATGACCCAATCATTACAGGAATTATTCCCGACAAATCCATTGCGAGGTGAGAGAATTATAATTTTCCATTTATGTAGCTCATATTGCAAGAAATGTCACTAAAATAAAAGAAAAACCCTTATATTACTCTCTCTGTTTATAAAACAGAACATAAGGATTTTCCTTAATTACATAATGAGAACTGATGTTGCATTTTGAAAATAAAAACAAAATCATACAGTATATATAAAAGTATTATGAAGTAAAAGGTGATGTGCATAATTCTAACCATAAATATGGCTGCAGAACGTGGTGAGGTCAGTATTTTTTTATTTCGCCTACCTTGGGAAAAAATTGTTCATGCATTTCACAATAATTTCAACCTACTGGAGCTGCATCTAGTTTGAAACCCTTTATAAAATGCAGAATGCGTTCATAATTCCTGCCATACATTCATTCAATGTATTTTTACAAACTGTTTTCCATAAAAATATCAGAAAATAAATTTTGTTTATATTCGTTTAATTATCATAGATTTTGTTTGCATTTTTAGCAACGTATTTGTTGATAATGTACAGTAACAGCATAATGTGTCTCCGACATTATCTGTACGTCTAAAATCCCACAATGGAACTGGCAACTGATAACCTAGACTACCACTGCACTAGGGTTTTGCAGGAAATGCCGTTGCCAGCTATTAGGACAGTAATGCATCCACAGAATGATTCCACATTTTTAAAAATGGGTCCAAATTATGCAGATTTATGCATTAAATGAGTTCAGTTTCTCATTTTGCCTAAAATGGGTAAAGTATAAGAAAATAGATCCAGATTTTTCATATTTTTGAGTAAAATTGGTTCACATTATTTGGTTTTTATGCGTAAAGTGGGTCCACCCTAATATTTTCCTGTACTGTTTGAAAATTCTGGCTACAGCATTGTTTGCAGGGAATCAATCTAACAACATATCATTCTGTTCGACAATAATGCTTATTATTATTATTATTTTCCCTCAGTGGTGGAACATATATTAAAGTAAATGGACTGAATCTATACGTAGCAAACAATAAGATGTTGACCATGACAATAGATGAGGAAGTGTTTTACGGAGTAAGTTTATTAATGGTTGTTATCATTGGCGACGAATGCTGGAGGAGAGGAGGGACACATCCTCCACATTTCAAAGTGGGAGTATGTGAATCATATCAGTTGTCTCCCCCCACTGTTCACTCTTGTTCTGTTTCCCTGTGCGGTGCATAGTAGAGTAGATACTGGGACCCTATTGCCTTGGGCTTTTTGTGCCGCACGTTTAGGCTGCTACAATCAAGAGGAAACAGTCATTAAGAAACTGTAGGTAGTGGTAGCTTTTACTACGAAGGAATGGGAATTCCAAACTTACCAATGCACAAGCGCAGTTAACAAAGAATGTCTGTGAAATATGTATAAAAAACACAGTGAGCATGCGCTTGGTAATGCTAGACAGCCAGTGAGCATGTGCATTGAGTAAAGTGACGTTGTCAAGCATGCACAGTTATCAAAGAGACGTCTCAGGAACCAAACATTGTCTGTGAAGACGGTATGAAATAGAAATGGGAAAAATTTAACTTTTTCATGCATTAAGCATATGCAACTCAAGCTAACTGTGATCATGCATTGCAATGAAAATTGAAAATAATGAGAATTCCTTGGCTATCGAAGGCTTACAGTGCATCATATAATCGTCAGGGAGAATTTTAATTAAATTATCGCAAACAACAGTTTATTTGGCTCTGTCAACGACACAACCTAGGTTAGGCCTCTCTGTGTAGCTACTAATAGCCAATAGTAGGGGAAAGCTGAGGCTAAGTCGCAATTGTCTCGAAAGGTATGGTGCTGTACGCTGAAGAAGGATAGCGTGAATATGCTCTTCGTCATATGCATCCATTATTGACAATCCGATAAATAATAGCCACATAAACTGAGAGCAGTAGGCCATACAAATATATAATATAAAATATTAAAAAATAGTAACATTATCATTAATAACAATAATAATAATAATAATAATAACAATAATATTAAGAACAAAAACTAAAGAAAGTCTATATGGTAAGCCTAGACCTTTATCAAATCATATATCACACTTTCTACATTTCTAATGTGGAGTACTGTTAGTATGTTTTTTTATTATTTTAATCCTGTGATTGCAATGTAAATAAATTTGTGGCTATTGATACTGCAGTCGTAAACCAATTCTATGTGTAAGCTATATTTTATGTTTATGTGTCATATAAAAGAAATGCATTGAAGATGATATAGGTCATTCTCAAGTATACATTAATTAGTATTAAGTTTGGCAATACAAACCAGTTATAAGTTAAAGATGTTGCAGCATTTTTTTTATAAGAAATATTTTCTGTTATGTATCCTGTTGATTTGTTGCTTATTTATTTTTTAAAATTTATTTCTTACACATCCAAACGCAAGTAGCACTTGCCAATTGCATGATGGAATGAAGCTTTATAAAGTAAGTCTTTATTTGACGCTTAAAGAGTTTTTTTATTGTAAAAAAGTTGAACCCAGTACCCTGGGACTGGAAAGCAAGTATCCTCAGTGACCACTATACAATATCTGGGGTTCTAATCCAGGTAAAATAAAGGGTCCCCTTCATAGTGGTGAATAGAAATTGCCTGCAGTGCTAAAAGATATATTATATTTTACCCCTTTTCATGGCTTAAAAAGTTTTTCCTTATTATGTAGTTTTCCTTATTGGACATGTCTGTAAATTTTTATTTGTCTATTTCTGTGATTTATTTGGTTGTTGAAATATTTTGTTTGTTTTTTTTCAGGATTGTATGAATGCAACTATGGATTCAATGACATGTAAAGTGCCCGACATCTTCAGTAAGTTTGACCCGGGAGATTCTGACTTTATGCTGGTTCCCAGTTACGGATTCCTACTTGATGGAGTTGAGACATACCAGTCTCTGCAGAGTTTAGAGAAATTCCAGGATTTCAAATATTATGTGAATCCTGTGTATAAAGGACTGGCAAATAATGTGTACAAGAGGGATGATGTAGAGTATTTGACCATACTGGTATGTATCTGTCTCTTATACACATCTAGATGTGTATAAGAGACAGAATATATATAGACCTATACTGTAACAAACATAATGTGTGAACATCCAATCAAAATACAGATAATAAGCAACACAATGTAACAGAATCGTACATGTCAAATTGCAAAGATGAAAGGACCGTCATGTAGAGTAATAAAACAATGGGGCAGGCACTTTCAATACGTAAAAAATGGAAATATTAATAAAGTCAAGATGGGCAGAAAGCATTAACAAAATTAAAATGTTGTTCAAAGCATATAACATAAAAGCCTATGATAAATGCAGGCAATAGTAGCAACTAGTGCATATTAGATCTAATTAGATATACTGTAATGTAGTATTAAGGTTCAATGGTATTAACTTGCATAACCATTGGAATCGATACCCTTCACCTGATAAATGCCTTAAATTGGTTTGACAGTTTTAATGGTCAACTTGAGTATACAGATAATCTAATAATATAACTGGACATTGTATAACTTTACCCTCAGTTGGACTTGGCCTTTCTCACACTATGAATCTATGATTGTCAGTTTTGAGCCTAAGCTCTGAAGTTTGTGATACATCTTAATTAGCAGTTTTTGGGTAAACAAGTTACTAAATCATAGAAAAAGAATTTCTCTATGATCCAATCAGAAATTCTAAAAGTATGTGGTGACTTACTTGAGACACACCCCCATTACCTAAAGTATAATAGGCAAACACCCTCATATCACTGAGTAGTAGTTATTCAATTTAGTAGTTAAGAGTACACAGAAGAAAAGTACAGAGCCGACTCCACTCTAAAAGGGTTCTCTAACATCTGAAACCTGGAGTTTAGCTGATTGTAACCAATGTACAGTTTGTGTAAATAAAAGTTTGCAGTGTACTGAAAGGAACTGTGTTATATACTACTCATTAAAAGATATTTAACAATACCCTCTCAAAGACTTAAACGATGCATTCCTACTATTAGGTGTAAGAGTGCCAAGTTTGAAAATAATACATTCCTCTAATTTTTTACAAGTTATTTCTGAACTGTTTCAAATCTTAATGGTGGTGACTATTATATCAGAATGTGTATAGTTATCAGAGAAATGAGCAGCATTTGCCCTGATAGCAAAAGGTTTGCAGGATCGAATCTTTCAAGAAATTATTTTTTTTTTATACAACTGAATAAATGGAACTTTTCGGTGAAGGGCTATGCTTTATGCAATTATAACATCTTGTTCCTATTTGAGCACTGTTATTGTTTATCCATATATGTGTGGTGTGTGTGTGTGTGTATATTACATCGGCTTCAATAAAATAGTAAATAAAACGCATAGAGCAAAAGTGTAGAGTAGCCGTAACTTTTAATGGTAAAAAATACAAACGTTTTCGGGCATCGCCCTTCATCAGGTGGTACGGTACAGATAGAAGGTAAAGCAAGGATAAATACAGTCAATGCGGACGTAGGATGAGTGACAAAGAACCTGCTGGCATTAATATTAGTTAATGCTTTTAGACTTTAATATGTCTTTTGCAGCCTTTTTATATATTTATATATATATCTATATATTTATTTATATTGCTTTATGTTTTACATTATATAGCATAGGCTACTAGTTTATATGACTCATTCGATTACTATTGTTCTTTGATTTGATTTTGTTCACACCCTCTAATCTTTGGTAGCTCGTTTGCTACTCGCTCAGGTTCTTTGTCACTCATCCTACGTCCGCATTGACTGTATTTATTCCTGTCTCTTATACACATCTAGATGTGTATAAGAGACCTTCCTCAGTGGCGAGTGAGTGAGGGTAGAAAAAGCTAGATCGTATAAGGTGAGAATTTCATGCAAGCATGATTGGAAACAATAGGCTGGGTGAGATTAGAATAAACAGCCTAAACAAGTAAACAGGAAGGCCTAAACTATAGAGGCAAGCCTCAATAAATTATATATATATATATATATATATATATGTATATATTGAGTGGAAGAGAGGTGTATAAAATGTTGCCTATATGCACATTATGTTTATTTAAATGAAATTTATTTAAATAGCCTTAATTTCTTTTTTTATTAAAGGGTGAAAATCTTAACCTTGCTTCCAATAAAGATGACGTGAAAGTAAAGATTGGAAGAGAGAAATGTGATGTAACTTATTTAGGTAATATCCAGCTGACATGCATACCTCCAGAAAAACAACCTCTAAGCTTGGATGGATCTGACAGCTCCGCAGAAGTCATGGTAAGTACCTGCTACCAGGGGTTTTGTGGTTCAGTTATACTACAAACAGAAATTTACTAGTTATAAACGGATATGACTACATGTTTAATGTTTATTTTCAGGTCTACCATGGTAACTTGAATTTCAGCGTGGGGTCACTGAAATATTACAAGCCAGCATGGACTCTTCCTCCTGAAGTATTAATCAGCATAGTGGCAGTGGTGATAATCATCATCATTGTTTTAATCCTTGGGTGCTATATTTATCGTTACAAGGTAGGCTAAAAATAATGATTATGAGGCCAACAAATTTTGGGTCAGCATTTTTGTTTTTTTTATTTTTTGAAGTTTTTTGTTTTACTCATATTGCAAATTTGAGAAATATCACTCTCAAAATTTAATTTAACACATACCGTAAAATCTTGAATTGAAGCCCTATGGGCTTAATCTCAAGAAGTCCATCTTAAATTGAAGCCCCTATTAGTTTGCAAAACTAGCCTCGAAAACAAGCCCACAGACTTCATATCAAGATAGCATGACATATATTCTACATACACTGTACATGAATTTCAAAGAAACAAAATAAATAAAAAAATAAAAAAAAATGCATGGTTTATACAGTAGTTTAGGTGATTAAAGCAGGGTTAATACACTCCATGATACAGACTGATGTTACAGTGGCCCTCTTTATTTGTTTTATAGTTGTAATTCTCAAAATTTACAGCATTCATTTTGAAAAGAAACCTTCCTCTTTACTTTGTAAAAGTAGCCTCGAAAAGAAGCCCATCTTGAAAAGAAGCCCATGCAAAGTTTGCAATAAAAGAAGCCCAGGGCTTCAATTTAAAGGTTTTACGGTATTGTCCTAAAACAGACATCTATTTTCAACCTATGTGTACAGTATATACATTGTTGAAATATGAGTCATAATTTAGAGAACCGAGTGCACAATGTATGGCAAACTCTCCCACTGTTTACCTACAACCTGATCTAGGCCTAGGATGGTCTAGAAAAATACCTCTTTGGTCTAGGTAAGCCATTCTACTACGTACTACTACTAGTAATACGTGGTTGCTGTAATCGAAGATCTTAATTTACTTTGCAATTAATTAGATCAGGAAAAAGCCACAGAGATCCCAAGTTGCACTAGGAAAGTTTGCATGCATGAGCCTTTTGATACAAACAAAAAAAAAGATATAGGTCGACATTAATAATCCTGCTGTTGGTGCTGTAGCTTATTTATAAAGAAAAATGTCTTACATACATGTTGCCCATTTGGAAACATTAGCTCATGTAACCAAGGGTTTATTCACATTTCACATTTGTTATATAAGGCTTAGAGCTAGGGTTACCTGCTAATCATTACCAAGTCGCGTCTAGAGAAATACAAAGGTTACGTTCAGACTTGAATATAAGCCAGGCTTGAGTTAAGCCCAGCTCAACGTTAAGCCCGGCTTAACTTTGCTGGGCGTTCAGACTAGCGGGTTTAGCCAGGCAAGAATTTGCATAATAATGAACCGTAACCAGAAAACGTGTTTCAAAACATTGCT